AGTTAAGTGAGGGAAAAAGTGAGTGATACCAAATTTATATACTACGTAGTAAGCCGGTGCACTAAGTCGTAGAAAGAGGTGAGTGACACCCAATATGAGTGAAACAAATTAACTACCAGTCTACGTTACTAAACTAAGCGCCTAAGCTAGTGTTTTTAAAATGAAGAAATATAGGCTAGCTATGACACCCAGTACTTATTACTCAAAAACTGTATGCTCATAATTTGCATCAGGACGTGTCCCTGGTTGCCTGGTTGGTAACGTTGACTAAGAGTTGTACAATAATATTCTTTGAGACTTTTGTATGCTAGGGTGTAGTTATTTTAGGGATTTTGACAAATAAATGTAAGAATGGTGATTCCAAAAGGTGTAAAATGGTTCTTTGAGACTTTTGTATGCTAGGGTGTAGTTATTTTAGGGATTTTGACAAATAAATGTAAGAATGGTGATTCCAAAAGGTGTAAAATGGTGATAGGCCTATCAATGGGGGTGTAGACCCGGACCTCACCCGGACTTGGTTGATTCTAACGGGTATGGGTCTAATACATAAAGTGATTAGTTGTAATACTTCAAATAAAAAAATACAAACTAATACACACACATAATATCACATAAAGTTATTAGTTGCAATTCGATCTTCACTTAAAAATATACACACTAATACATACATATTGTATAAGTTGTATAAGTGATACTGATCGAGATAGTGAGATACCCTATGACTAATACACATTTTTGCCGGAGATAATGAGATACCCTATGACTAATACACATTTTCGCCGTTTATATGTACTGATTAAGTGTGTATTGGGGCAGATAGGCAAAATCCAATATTTATTATTATTAATATTAGCATTATTATATCATTATGATATATAATGCTTTTATACTCTTAGTAGTCCAAGAGACCTTTTTGTGACCTAATTTCTAGTCTATTCTATGAGCTTTCTGTGCGAGAGAAATCGACACAGGAGTTATATGCCTCTACAAGAACCAATACTTTATTGGATAAAAGTACTAGTTTTATATGAGAAATCTTGATTTTTTAAAAAAGTGAAAATATAAAATAATACTAATATACTATCGTATATTATATATAAATATATACATGATATAATATATATACGTGTGTGTGTATGGGTAGATTATGTAATATATATTTATAAGACGTAAGGGTAAATGCGAAAACCGAAAAGGCTAAAACTACCGCTTAATTAAAACATGAAGGGTGATATGATTAGTAAATGACACTTTAAGCACCTATTTGCGTTAGTAACCAGCATGTGTGTTTAGTTCACATATTCTTACTAACTTAACTGTATTTTTAGCAGTGCAATAAACACATCCTATACTACAAAAATCTAGGGTTTGATCGAAATCCTATACTATGTTTCAATTTCACATATGATTCAAAAAGTTTAACAATTACATTTTTGTAAATATTAAAAATTGATTATTTTAACATACTTGCGAATACGAAATTTAAATTAATTATAGGTATGTAATTAGATTAACCCTTACGTTATTTGATTCATTTATTCAGGGGTGGAAATATCGGTTTGGTTTAACTGAACAGAACTGTACCAAACTGAAACTGGACCATATGTAATTTGGTCTGTGTTTGATAATATTTCTTTCAACCCGTTTTAAATCGAGTCGTACCAAAACCGATGAAAACCAAACAAAACCAAACTGGACTACAAGAATCAATAAGACCTTCATTTATTATTAAAAATCACAGATTCAAACCGAACTGAACTAAATCGAATCTAACCAAACCGAACCGAAAACAAAAAAAAATTATCCGAAAACCGATATGTCCACCCCTGCAATTATTTATTAACATAATTTTGAGCAAATGACAAACTCCGTGTGATTCTAATTTATTGCTAACAAAGTGAAATTTATTTGTTATCATTTTTTAAAGTATGATATCATAATGTTTTTTCTTGTAAAAACTTTGTTATTTATCATTGACTTTATAATTTGTTTTAAAGTTCTCAGTCCGTGACATGCATGACATAATATATATATATATAGACAAATGTTCAGGTCAGGAGCTCCTGACCGGAACCGCCGTCCGGACCGCGGCGTTTGGCCGCCGTCCGGAATTTCCGAACCAGTTAACTTTCAAAAATCATTTGACGACCTTCCCGATTGAGTTTTTTGCTGAATTTTTGTGTGGATAAACTAGACTTGATGGAGAACATGTCATAAAAATTTCATCAAAAAAAGCCACCGGGAAGGCGGCCAAACGCCGCGGTCCGGACGGCGGTTCCGGTCAGGAGCTCCTGACCTGAACATTTGTCTATATATATATATATATAGGAAAATATTCAAGTAACGTAGGCCTAAGAATTGAAATTCTTAGGCCTCTTTCATTTGAGGTGCTTCTGAGATGAATTTTTTGATGAAATTTTGTGAACATGTTCTCCATGAAGTGTTGATTAAGCCCACCAAATTTCGGAAAAAAACTCAATCGGGAAGTCGGTTTAATAATTTTTTCAAAATTGCGCAGGTTTTTACATATATAAAATACAGTTTTGTTTCAACAATTTATTTAAATGACTTCCCGATTGAATTTTATTGTGAAACTTGGTGGACATCATCTTCAATCCATGGAGAATATGCTCACAAAATTTCATCAAAAAAATCGACCCAGAAGCACCTCAAATGAAAGAGGCCTAAAATTTACAATTCTTAGGCCTACCTTACCTTAGCATTGTCCTATATATATATATATATATATATATATATATATATATATATATATATATATATATATATATATATATATACACACACACAATTTCAATTCACTCTCCTCGCCCATGCATGTTTCTGGAGGCACTAGTGCCCATTCGCCATCAATTTCCCATTTTTGTGTGTAGTCACTCGTATATTTTCTGCTATACAGTAACGTTATGTGAAGTGACAAAACCAAAACTAGAACTCGACAATAAACTTAGGTCAAAACAACAAAAGGGAAGGAATTATATGTACTTGCATGCCAAAAGTAGCAACCGGTTGTACTTACGTATGCCTCAGCTCTTTCCGAATAAAAAGTTAAGTGGAGAATTTCAAAACAATACTTTTGTGTTCAGAAAAGTATCAATGATCACAAAGGGGAGTATCCAAGGGGGGCAGGGGACAGTATACATGTATACTTTATATGTTCCCCTAAAGGTTTCTCACACTTTCTTTATTTGGGTATCCCATTTAAAGGCTCTCACTTCATTTTAGAAAATAATTTACTCTATTTAATACTCCTTCCGTCCCGCTATGATTGTCTCATTTTACCATTTCGGTCTGTCTCACTAAGATTGTCCCATACCTTATTTGGTAAAGTTTGTGTGGTTCTAAATCATTCCTACTTTATTCTTACTTTATCAATTCAATACCAACCACATAAACCCAATTTTATTAATAACCGTGTCACCTTTTCTTTTCCCAAACTTAGGGGGACGGAGGTAGTAATATATTTACTCAAATTTCTTTTCCCTACTCATTATATATCTAAGTCTCACAATTTCCCCTCTCTCAACTTATCCCCCTTTAATTAATTTCACTTTATACGTTTACTCTTTTTAAATTTTCTTTTTTGTTTCCCCTCTTTTTTTACCCATATTACTTTATTTAACCACTTTCCTAAAAAAATTGTGTCGTTTACTTACGAGAACCTTCCAACATGACAGAGAGAGTATCAATTAGTTTTGAACCTTAATTGAGTTTAAGGCAGGTACGTAGGCTTTTTTGACCTTTTAATTAAATCTGAATAAAAGATTAATTTATGTTTTTTAAACCTCGTATAGTAGAAACGGATTCAAATATACTTAATATTAGTGCATTCAACTATCAAATTTTGTATAAATATTACACCCATATAAAAATTCAAATACGAATCAGAATATAAAATATTTTGATTCCAAATTAGTGCATTCAACTATCAAATATTTTCTTTAAATATTACACACGTGTAGAAATTCATACATTTTTAGTACATAACTAAACTGAAACACAGAATTTTAATTTTAATTTGAGGTGTAGTTTTTTTTTAAAGTACATTTGAGGTGTAGTTATAAACAATTATTGCATGTACTTAAAGAGTGTTTTATAATATGCAAAATAGCGTAAACAATAAAAATAATAGTAGAGTGCAAATTACAGTTTCAAACGAGCTTGTCTTAGGCTATATTGTAGCTCGCTAGATTCATTTCATTTTCATTTACCCCGTGCCGCAAAGGCTCCCACCTACGGTGGGGTAAGGGGGGTTGGATGTACGCAGTCCAAAATTGCATGGACTGACTGTTGCTTCATAACAAAGAATAATGAGCCATTTTGCTTTATTCCATCATATTCTCAAGCCAAAAAATAATGAACTTTGACTCCATTGCAAATGATGGAAAAATTGTAGCTCGCTAGATAAAATAGATAAATGTAACTTATAAACCTCGTATAGTAGAAACTCATTCAAATCTACTTAGGACTACATATTTATATTTATATTTATATTTATATATCCTCTCCTTATGAGATCACATTCTCATTTGATCTAAATTATATTTATATATATACGACATGACTTTTAAGTTAAATATAATCACTTTTGTATGATAAACGTATGAAAAGTGAAAAAAAAAAAATACTTTCTCCGTATTAGTTTCCTAAACTTTCCTTTTTTTGAATTATTTAAAAGTTTGCTAGCTACACTTTTGTGTTTTTTAAAAGTTTTTCATTTAAAAACACTCAATTACTCATATTTATTTACTATTTATTTTTTACATACTTTTCCGCCATCTCAATCAATTATTATACACTATTCATTACTCCTATTATTTCATCTTAAATAAGTATCTAACACTATTGTAGAGATCTTTTATACACAGGGGAGTATTGCGTATATAGTTTTGTAGGCCATGAATAATTTTCCCTCTTTAAGACCGGCCCTAACAAAATTCACAAATAATACTATGTAGGGAGTAGCAACGTTTGAAGATGAGGCACATATTCGAGGAAAGTGAAATAAAACATAGACTAGCTAGAGATTGTACAAAGTATTACACAAAAATAGGTATTGCCCAAATCTGAACAATGAAAAAGCTGATAGTTTACATACGGTCGTACTAGAAAGGGACCGGTCTTTGTCTCCTAGTTCACATACGTTGGGAGTACAACAAAAGGCTGCTATCAATTTGTTGAACATATGGAGTTAAGTTGACTCTGTTTCAGGTTTGCCATCGATTTTTCATGTTTTCCCGCCAACGTTTTCGTCTTTAGGTTTAGTCACCCGTACATATATTTTGTGTTATACGGCAACGGTATGTGAAGTGACATAATCACATAACCAAAATTAAAATAAACTTCCCTAAAAAAAACTAAAATAAACTTAGGTCAAAATAACAATACGGAAGGAAATATGCGTACGTACCATGAACATACCAAAGTAGCGGCCGACTGTACGTATGTAAGCCTCAGCTCACGTATATTGACTTGAATTTCATGTAACATTTTTTAATTTCATTAATAAGATGTATTTTGAATTAAAATAAAAGGGAAAACTGTCAAATAGGTCCTCGAACTTTCATAAAAATGTCAATTAAGTCCTTCTATAGGAGGTTCTGTCCGGCCGTCGCAATTTGGGGTAGTTCCCGGTGGAATTTTTTGATGAAATTTTTTGAGCATCTTATTCACCAAGTCTAGTTTACTCATACCAAACTTCAACTATAAATTCAGTCGGGAACACATTCAAATTAATTCTTGAAGATAATTGCGCATTTTTGCGTTCTCGAATTAATTTGAATGCGCTCCCGATTAAATTTTTAGCTAAAATTTGGTATGAGTAAACTAGACTTGATGAATAAGATGCTCAAAAAATTTCATCAAAAAATTCCACCGGGAACCGCCCCAAATCGCGATGACCGGACCGAGTCTCCTATAGAAGGACTTAATTGACTTTTTTATAAAAGTTTGAGGACCTATTTGACAGTTTTCCCAAAATAAAATTATAATTCAACCGATTCAATCAATTCAGTCATTTCTGTCATAAATTCATAAATTTCAGCAGATTCAACCGATTCAATCAATTTGAATGTTACCCAATGGGGTCTATAACACAAACTAATCAAATTCTCTTTTACTGCGTATCTTTTATTTCTTATCAATATTTTGACAAACTTCAAAATTACAATTTAAACACTATTATAATGTTGACATAAATAATCATACTTTTACGCATTCTACATTTCTACATAAATAATCCCATCTAGAATTGTTCACCATAATAATCCGAATTCGTTTAAGCATTCACAATATTATATATAAGCATTCACAATATTATATTTATCCTTAAACTTATTTCTATTTTGAATTAAATTTTATACACATTTTTCCCTAATATATTACTTATATTAAGAGTTCGTTTGATAACCCATATTTTAAGCTTATCAGTCAACTTTTTTAACCAAATACATAGTTTTTGAAGTTACTTTTCTAGTCGAATTGGCTGAAATTATTGTAGAAGACAATTTTGGCTATTTTCATGTATTTTTTCTTAATTTCATTAATAAAATATATTTTGAATAAAAAAATATAATTCAACCGATTCAGTCAATTCAGTCACTTCTGCCAGAAATTCATAAATTTCGGCAGATTTAGCCGATTAAACCAATTCGAGTGTTACCACACAGGCGCTAAAACACAAACTCATCAAATTCTCTATCTTTTATTTCGTATTAATATTTTGACAAACTTCAAAATTAAAATTTAAACATTATATATACTATGCATAACATATACTCCGTCTATATCAGTTTATTTGTCTCAGTTTTTTTGGGACATGTCAAGTTATTTGTTCCATTTCCCTCTTTACAAATAAAACAAACAACCCTTTTGTAAGTTTATAATACTATGTATGTTTCATCATCATCATCATCTTCCTTTTACACAAGTTTTATATTTTATCCCCAGATTTTGTATGTTATACTAAACTACTTTTCAGGTCAGGGCATTCATTTCTCTCGATTTTGGGGATAACAGAAAAGACTATATAGAGGACCTTAATACTTACTGGAGGGCATGTGAGTGGATCTTTTTCATGTTGTTTAAATATGTTTAGAGTTGTCAATAGAAAGTATTAGTGAAACATATGCCTATGCATATGCTGATCATATTCTGAACACATTGATGTCTTACCTTAATTTCACAGTTGAACCACAACGCATTGAAAGTTTACAACTCATTCTGTGTGCGAATGGACCTGAAAACAATATTCAGAATAATCAATACCTTTGTAAGTGCTCAAACAAGAGAACAGATACATCTCTTCTCTCAATTTAAGTCATCTTTCTCTATGGATGGTGAACAAAGTAATTTAATTTTTCCATTCCTAGCCATAGATTTTGGAACAACCAAATAAGATAAAACATAATGATCCTTTATACCTTGTTTGCATGGAAATTTTTAAATCAAAAGCCTTTTGTTGGATAACATTCACTTAACTTTTCCCATCATTAGCAATCTTATCTATGCATGTTTGTTATTTTTATTCATACAACAACATCCAAGCCTTGTTCCCAAAAGATTTTAGGGTCGGCTAACATGATATCAGAACCAAAAAGAAAAGAGAGATAAGAAAAATAAAAATATAAGGAAAGAGTTGGAACTAAATTTTAGAACAGTTGGAAGTAAATTCTTGATTTCACTTCTAAATACTTTCATGTTTCTACTAATTAGTTGTTCGTTGTTGAATAAATACTGGTTGATAGAGTTACAAAATAAAGATTTCATAGATGAAAAATGACTTCTTGTGCTGCATATTGTACTCTAGGTGATCAAAATATGCTCATAAAATACATGCTAATATATATATATATATATATATATATATATATATATTAGCATGTATATATATGGGCATATAGTTATGCATACAAGTTTAGGTATTTATCTCACACTCCTTTAAAGTTTGGGATATTTAAATTATTTTACTTATTTTAATAATGTCATATTCTTGTCATTTTCACATAAAGGTGATACTACATAAGATGACATTTTTCGACGGTCGGAGGTGATAGTGCTAGGAGGGGGCAAATGTGACAATAGAGTCCTACAATATATTGCGTTAAATTTTCATTTCATTTTTTATTTACTACTCCCTCCGTCCCGCTAAGATTGTCCCATTTTACCTTTTCGGAAAATCCCACTAAGATTGTCTCATACCAAATTTGGTAAAGTTTGTGTGGTTCTAAATTATTCTAACTTTATTTTTACTTTATCAATTTAATATCAACCACACAACCCCACTTTTTTTAATAATCGTGCCACCTTCTCTTGTCCCAATCTTAGTGGGACGGAGGTAGTATATTTTTACATTTTTATTATACATATAAAAATATTACGGAGTATTATATTATTTATTTGTTTTTATTATATACTCCCTCCGTTCTTTATTAATAGTCCCACTAGCCTTGGGCACGGGTTTTAATAATAAAGTAGTAGGGTAAGTATAGAATGTGTAGGGTAAATGATAAAGTAGGAAAGAGGGTATATTTAAAAGAGTAAAGTGATGATAAAAGTATGAAGGAGAGCGTATTAAGTAGAGTAAAATGATGATAAAGTAGGAAAGAGAAAATAGTTTGTAAAAAGTAAGTGGGATAAAAGTAAAAAAAGTGGGGGTATTGTATCAAAAAAATTCCTTAAATGGAAAGGAGGACAAATAAAAAAACAGACCAAAATGGAATAAGAGACTATTAATAAAGTTTAATAAAGAACGGAGGGAGTATAAAAAAATATTTTTTATTAAAGTATGATAAAGCTAGAATAAAAAGTGAAGCATAAATAACTTCATTCTTTTAATTCTATCGAAATTGCATTGGGCATTTTTTATGTCTCGCATCGCGCGTTAAAATACTAGTAATAAAAGAGAAGTTAATTTTACACTTTAGCTCCGCATCCGTAGATCATTCCCACTTTTAGCCCCCCTACTTCCACTTTTCTCACTTTTAATGTCAGACAATTGATTTCCCAACATTTATTGTCCTTTCAGTCACATATCTGATGAAAATCACCCAGAAAGAAATTTCTCAGACAAAGTGGTATGGAAAGCCAAAAGTTGCAAGGCATCACCAAGAGTGGAAAATATGAAAGTGGTTGACCATATATGAATGACCTAAAAGAATGGGACAAAAAGTGGAAACTCTCTACAGAAGTGAGAAATCAAAGCAACAACTACATAAGTTTTCAGAAGTTCGGTGCATTATATTACCCTGGTGGAGCAGTAGGCCATTGCAGTAATGCAGTTATAACACCTAAAGGAAACAAAAAATGATTACCATAAATATGAATATCAAAGGATCAGTTTTTAGAAGGTGTGTGGGCCAAACCTGAGCTCTGTTTGTATAGAGGAATAACAAGAGGAACCAATCCTTTCTTACTAACAGGAGAAACTAAGTGCTCGCCTGTTAATCAGGCATTACATTGGTGAGAATATTGGCAAAGTACATGAATGGTTGATCTAAAAGGCCCTAAGCAGTGTCCTATTGCATAACCGAATGAAATAGCTAAGGTCTTGACCGCTGCCTCACCTCGCATTTGTAGCATGTTCAGCAGACCATTCAAGTTGTTTGGATGTTGAGTAGTCGTTACATCAATGATGAAAGATGCATGATCTGCATTCCAGCTCAAAAAGAAATTAATTCAGCATCTACAGGTCACAAAAGCATTGTCACAACTAATGCAGAACCCAAATACATGGATTTTGTAATTTCTTTTCCCATAGAAGACCATACTTTCTTAATTTACTTAGTGAAACAATTCAGTGCACGAGTCAAGAAATTAGTGTGAGGTAAAAAGCAACTGACTGAGAGTAGTTATTTTTTTTAGATACTGCAGAGAAGGAAAATAGCAACACCTCAATCTTTTTACATTGATCATAAGTGCAAATTCAGGGGCTTTGGTTTTCATCGAGAGTTTCCTTATAAGGCCAATCCTTAAATGGATATGTGTATTATAATAAGTTTGAGGAGCAGGCTCTTGATTTCCGTGGAGTTCTTATCCCCAGGTTTGGGATTATGCAATGTTTATAATTAAAAATTGAAAGAATTATAATGAAATTAACAAAATTATATAGAGATACTGTCTGAAGACATACAGAATCATGCTGGATAAAATACGGAGTTTCAAACAATGTTTAAGATGTACATTGTAAATAAAATTGTCTCTTTTTACATTTTAAATCATTCAACTAAATCCATTCAGTGAAAACATCATATAAGCACATCTATTTTGAAAAACAGCGTTTTTTATGCTCCTGAACTTCTAGAGCAGCTTAACAGGTCCTTTTTTGCCAAAAAGGTAAAGGCATTTATTTTGTAGAAAACTAAAGGCATTTGGTTTTCAGCTCTAAATGTAGAAAACTCATTGCCAGAAAACTAATTCCCAGAACAATGCATAGAATTGGGAGGAGCACACTGGAAAACCCAACATACACTTTTACACTAAACTTTTAAAAGTTCTTCAGGATATTCTTTTAACAAACACCTACTGTTTGGTTGCTGTTTTTTAAGCAATATATCATGAATTAGAATCTTTCCATTCTTTAGATTGTTCATAAGCATCATCAAAACAGGTGGTTCACAGTATTGTATCTTTTCACAATGCTTTCCTGTCAGTTTAGCATTGACAAAAAAATAATCTGGTCTTTTTTTATTTTAATGATATCATATTTGTTGTGCTTTAAAAGATTATGAGAGTATAAAAATAAAATTACAAATAGAGACTATGAATGTCAATCTGAAATTAAATTTATAACTAATGTCCTAATAGCAGTAAGAAGGATAAAATGCAAGGCAAATCCCTTGCTCCTATATATGACAAGGTTAATATAATCAAATTGAAAAGAGTGTGAATATGCTGCTAAAGGAAAATAGAAAAAAAAAATCATGCACATATTATAACCTTTTAAGACAATACAAAGATGGGCGGATGGCAATCAAGATCTTATAAAAAATACTTTAGTTTAGACAAAACAGAAAAATGGTAATATTAAAAGGAATTTTTTGCAGAGATATGAATGGATTTTCAGATTTGTGAAGCCTTTAAAATTGAATAATAAAATTGTTTACCAATCAATATATTCCAAAATATAAACCTAAATGACCATCTTAGCAGGAGTGGAGCTGGGGGGGGGGGGGGGTCAAATGGTCACCTTAGTTGTGTGTAGAAATAAAATTATCATGAACCTCTAAAGAAGAATGCCTTACTTTTACTGATTAGATTTGAATTTATAATAATAAAAACTCTAAGTACAACAAAACAGATTATTCACAAAACTGGGATTTTAGGGAAACAAAAACAACTAATAACACTTAATTTTATGGTAATTTTAATTCATGATTTCATATTGAAAAACTAATGTGATTTTTAAAACACTGATCAGGCCTATTAAAGTGTGCTAAAAAATATGTGAATAATTGGTTTTTGGTTGTTTGGTATTTTTTTATATTTTAAGTTACTAGGGATTATTTGTGATATATCCTTTTATTTAATGATTTGGATATGTAGCAACAAAATACAACTCAACACCCCCTTGTTGATTTTTCAATACTTTTATAAAAAAAAAGGCATTACTATTAAGACAAAGCTGAGCATTCTTTGGTTAGGCTGTAGTTTTTGAAACTTTCAAAAGTGTTGAAGTTTTTATTTTTTTATCGAAATAATTTCAGTAAAAATGAACTCATTGAACACAGAGAGATTTGTTTTATCTAGATTCTAGAGTGCTATTACAGTGATTTTTTTTGTTTCCCAAAAATTCTAGTTTTGTGACACTGTTCTTGTTCTACTAATTCCCAGAACAATGCCTAGAATTGGGAGAAGCACACTGAACAACCCAACATACACTTTCACAACTCTAAACTTTTAAAGGGGTGATTGTTGCTGAATTAAGACAAAGAATGATGTTAGGAAATACTTAAACTAAATGCAGCAACAAAGTAAGCCTTATGTGGCAAAAAATAGTTGCTCATCCAAAAGCACCCTACCTTGTAAGGAGACATGTATGACAAACTGATGAGATGCAAGAGATACTCCCATTAAAGAGACATGTATGGACAAATTGATGCAGTGACCTCTAGGAACTCTGGGTGGCACATTGGAATGATCACAGTCAAAATACACTGACAAATTGGATTCATCCAATGAAGGCATTACGATATATTATCTCAAACTCCCTTCTGCCCCTCAATAGTCAAGAAGCGTGCATGCGGCCTTAGCTTTTTTCTCCCCCCACCCAGTAGCTATGTCAACCTCACCGGCTCACCCAGCAACAAGTTTTTTTATGCGTAGTAATTAGCTTGGAGGAAAAGTGTATAGTCAAGTGAACTCTTAGAGAAAGATTTGAATACTAAAATTTGGAAGCTTTGTTACAAATGAGGGTCTCTACCAGTATTTAAACTTCTCTATTTCTACCACTATTTGTATTTCTCCACCTCATCAATTGACGGTGGTGATCATCTTGGTCCAACAGATAGTGTGGTTCTCTAGAACATTGCATAAATATCTTACTAGTATTCTATAATATACAAAGTGTATCTGAAATATTTTAGAATTTATAAGGAGTATCCTAACCCTTATAAATTCTAGTCTACTCCACCTCATCAATTGACGGTGGTCATCATCTTTTCCGTATAATTCTAGTCTACTCTACCAAATCCTAGAGCCAGTTATGAGCAAGAAGTGGGGAAACCTCTACTTTATATCAAAGATGAAAAGTTATGACACTAACCTACAAAATGAATGTTGACCATACTGGTGAAGGCTGGGGAAAACGATGAGCTGCTGCTGCTGCTGGCGGAGCATCGAGGAGTCGGCAGCTTTTTGGCACAATGCTTCAACAAATTTCTGTGCTCTATTTTCATGGCTTGTTGTTCTGTTTCAATAGTAGGAGGGAGATCGTTGTGGTGAAGTATGTCCTTAACCATGGCCTCCCGAGCATTCCGGTTCGGGAGTTGGAGGCCGCCATAGGCCAATTCCAAGGCAGTGATTCCCACCAGCCAAATGTCAGCCGCGGGAGACGGCTGCTCATAATTACTCGTACTAGTGTTATGGGAGGCTACTAGTTCTGGTGCAGCAGCCCACTGAGAGATGGAAGGCATGGGTAACAAAGCAAAACCCAACTTGAGGAGAGAGTAGGTAGCTGAAGTGAAGAGGGACGGGGATATGAGATAAGCGTGGCCAGCGCTGATATCTGAGCACACAGAGCCATACGTGCAGTCATGCATCGGGACTACGGCGAAGTAATTCTTAGCAGTATCATGAGAAGCGGTGACGGAAAGCGAATCCCGGATTCCCAACAAATTGGGGTGGTGGCCTTTGACGCCCTTACTTCTTCTGACTTCTTTCGATGGACTTTGGATTATCAGCAACCTTGACAGCTTGCAGCCTCTCCGACACCGATGTTTCATAGCTGCTTCCTGAATCCCACTCTGAGATTATGGTTTCAGCTACGGCTGCTTTGTACACCGTTGTGCCGGGTTCGCGGCGGCGTGCCAATCGTGCCGGGCGGTAGATGAGGGCGTGCGTGCTACCGCACCTCTCTCTCTTCGGAAGAATGCCCCAAAATTTTAAATTTTAAATATAACCTACACAATATATAAAATCTTTTTTATTTGATTAAAGATTCCTATTTTCGTATTTTGTTTTTAAATATTAATATTTATATGTAATTAAAATGCAATTGTTAATTATAAATGTGCAACTTCTTTATTACATAAGACCTAGATAAGGCCTAGTTATAGTAATTAGCACAAATTGCTCGTACAGTTTGGACGAGATTGGTTTTAAGGGACAGAGGGAGTAGTTTTTCGGTAATATCCTACTCTATATTTTTTAGTTCATGATTTTAATTCTTCTCTATTTTAATCAATGTTACATTTGATTGTAGTCTTTTTGGGTTGTTTTTTAAAAGGCTTCTTTTATATTATATTTATTTAATATAAGGCCTAATTTACGTGATTTGCACCGTTTATGCGCGTAAGCCTAGGTCGTGAAGTGCGAGACTCAAACAGCTTGAATTGATTATGAAGATCATCGGTGCCGCCTTGTCCCATACGTATGCGAGTTTCCACCCCCACCACACCACTGCGCCCGGCGGCGGCTGACCCCTGTCACGCCCCGGACCTACCGGACACGTCAACAACCCGTCGTACAGTACGAATAGTCAACCGCAGTCCAACTCATCCATACGATACTAGGCGTCTCGAATATCATTCACACATAGTACATCCATAAACAAACATCATGTAAAATATTCATTTAAGCAACGGAAACATTAATACAAGTGTTCAAGCCACACTTCGCAAACATGGACATACAAGCCCCAAAATAATTATTCAGAAAATAATATCCATGAGCATTAATAGAAATGTTTTTAAAACAGGAACGGAAGAAGCACGAACCACGTCTTCTCTCCTTGATTCTCTCGAAGCAACGGGCGAGGGTAGCAACCTTCAAGTTCTACCTGAAACTGTGAGGTGGCCTCCCCCGTGAAGAGGAGGTCAGTACTTGGAAGCATTTGACAAGTACAATGACAACTATACTAAGTATAATCAATGTTTCAATTTCTAAGACCATCAAATAGAGTGATATTATATTATAGGCCATAACCCTTGGTTACCCTCTTTGAAAATATACTTACTTTATATATAAAGTCAAGTAGTCGGCCCGTAGGCCCATGTTTACTTTGAAAACGTCCAACCCTTTCCCGTGGCCTCAAGCCACGCTCCTCTACATTACTTCGTCATGCTAAAGGCTTCCTCTAGTCATGTTCCATCGTGCTAGAGGCTTCCTCTAGTCACTTCACTCAGTGTTAGAGGTTTCCTCTAATCACCTTACATGTGTTGTGCCGGAGGCTTCCTCTAGCCACCCTAGCTAGAGGCTTCCTCTAGTCATTCCACATTATGCTAGAGGCTTCCTCTAGTCATCCTACATTATGCTAGAGGCTTACTCTACTCACCCTACGTTATGCTAGAGGCTTCCTCTAGTCATTCCACATTATGCTAGAGGTTTCCTCTAGTCATCCTACATTATGCTAAAGGCTTACTATAGTCGGCCTACGTTATGCTAGAGGCTTCCTCTAGTCATTCCACATTATGCTAGAGGTTTCCTACAGTCATTCTACATTATGCTAGAGACTTACTCTAGTCAACCTACGTTATGCTAGAGGCTTCCTCTAGTCATTCCACATTATGCTAGAGGTTTCCTCTAGTCATCCTACATTATGCTAGAGGCTTACTCTAGTCACGCTAATAGATCACCAAGCAAATTTTATGCCTAGAGTTCCTTATTATGAGTAGCCTTGGTGGCCTACTCCTAACATAACCCAACGTTTACACATTTCTACCTTAAAGCATCCCATAAGACTACTTTAGGTTCATCCTACACAATCCAAGCCCTTAGGATTTGTTCTATCACTTTTCATACTAACATTCCGACTAGTATTTCAATACTAATCAATTAATTCAGGACGACCAAATCCCAAATGCGTAGTCATAAAGTTCATTCCAATTGATTTTCCAATCCAAATACAATTTAATCACAATAGCAATAATATCACTTTTATCCATTCATGAATTCTCTACATGAAGTAAAAGTATATTTTATCTCAATATTCATAGTTAATTTGGCTATCATGCCTTCATATTCATATCACATAATCATACACAATTTATCTCATAAATATGTATATCATACTTCACTTACTTATACATCATTCTTTTCATATAGGCATTATTAATCATTTAATAATCCATGAAAAACTCATTTGATAATCTTAGGTAATCTTGTGAAATTAACCCAACAATTATAAGCAATATAGTCAGTCACCATCGCCTTAAGATGTGCTACAATAGTTGCCTTTGCTAGACCCCTCGATCAATCCCCGTTCTAGGCCGATCGAAAGTGGAATTTCTGGGCAGCAGACGAAAGCCGACCGGCTTTTGCAAAAGGTGGGCGGCTTTCGTGGTCTGCAGCTACGAACAGCTCTTTTCCAGTGGTGGTTTCCGACGATTTCGACTCCTATCGATTCCACAACTCTTCTAAGTTAAATATTACCACTTTATAACAATATTCTACACTTTTAAATGTGTAGAACTTCATGTTTAATCCATCATATGATTTCTTAAAAATCATACAAGAATAATACTAGTTAAAGAAAATAGGTAGAGTTCTTACCTTGAACTCAAACTATTTCCTGTTGGATTCCTTCCCTCTTGCTTCCTCCAAGCTAGAACTTTGTGGAGAACCTTTTTTTTCCAGAGCTTCTCTCTTGTATTTGGTCGTAAGGTTGGAATGCTAGGATAGGGGAGGAGTATTGACATGCACTTTGTCAAGGTGCGTCAAAATAAATTCAGTACTAGCAACTATACGTAGTATAGGTGAAGTAGAGTTCGTATCCACAGGGAAATGAATAATTATCTTTTTATGTAACTAGAGAATAAAAAGGGTTTTTTTTATTGAGTGATTTAATTAATTTAAACACGAAGATGAATGACTTATATGGGATTAAATTCAAGAATAAAAGGATCTTGGTCTTGCTACTTTCCACTTGTTGATATATTTTAGTCGATCATTGTTATATCTATAACTTATCCCCTCTCGAATACTCAATCGCGGAGTATCTCCAATTCATCGAGGGTAGTTATTAACAACGACCGTTCATTAATAACCCTTACTATTAATCAAATATAGAACAACGCCGTATACCGATATAATAGTAGCATTTAACCTCTTTAACTCCTTGATGAAATCAATTGAGATTGATAACCTCAACACAACGGTTTCGGTTTAACCAACAAAATTAATCCCTTTTAAGTTTATTAACCACGACCGTGCATTAATATACCGAAGTTACTTACTTGTGAAACCATCAACGATTAACCATCGGTTCGTTGATCGTTTCTAGTAATAATTAATGTTGGAACGTTAACTAATCGTCACTTAGCAACCCTTCAACATTAATATAGAATGAGATTAAAGGAAGAATTAATAATCAAGAGGAGAAAGTAAGAAAATAACTCGCAACTTTAATAATCAACAAGCTTCAAGAGCAAAACCAAGAAATGGAAGTTTAGCTCCTCGTTTGGAGACTAAACATGCTATAAAAATATAAGAAATAAATATTCTAAACTGAGCTTAAGTATATGGAAGAAGAGATTAAATTGGTATCTAAAATAGGAATGAAAGGGGTGTTTTTATAGGAGAAGTGAGGTGGTTGGGTGTAAGACATAATCTGATTTTCCCATGTTCACTTGCTTTATTTGATCTCTTATGATCTCCGGGTCAAATCATATCCGATTTTTCACATTTATTTGTTCTCCATGAAGCTTCCTCTTGTCTCCAATGCTCCTTCCTTATGCTCTCAAGCTCCTTCCTCTTCTTTTCATCATGTTTTTGCTTACATATCAAAATATCTTAATATCTTCTAATCTACTTTAATTTTAGAAGATAAAGATTACACCGTAATTGTACAAAAGCTAAGTAAACATAATGTAAAACCATTCTAAAATGTGGTGTTTATGCACGACTAAATAGTACACATCAAATACCCCCATGCTTAATCTTTTACTCGTCCTCGAGTAAAGTGCAATTCGATTAAGTTCAACGCTTAGGAGTGTCATGTTTCTTCTTACATTTAAAATTGGTTCTTTCTCCCAAGGTTTTATCTGTTCATGCTCCACCATGCTAAGTTTTTTGTGTCAGCCTCCTTTGAATATTTCGAGAAGCTCTTTAAAAACATCCGATCGAGTATGGCTTGTACCCGATCCGGTATCTTGTTGTTTGAACTTACACACGAAATTTTCTCCTGCAAAAATCAAAATTTAATTCGCTTTCTCTCATTTTGCCTAGGAGTCCTTTTCGGGTTTTCATCCTAACTCCTCATTTTTTTTCATCTCACTGACAAATGGAGTTAAGTTGGGAATATGGATTTGGGGTGCAATAGAGGATCAAAGTGTATGCCCGCTCTTTTCAATTTATTCAAGGTAAATGAAAAAACATAAAAGAAAATTAAAAACAAAATTACACAAACACACAGTTAAAAAGTGTAGCCTTTCCCCGGCAACGGCGCCAAATTTGACGTGCACTCTATCGTAGTGTGCCTCAAATTAAATTCACTACTAAGGGCTAATACCGTAGTATAGCGTAGTAGAGTTCGTATCCACAGGGAAATGAGCTTTTTCGCGTATGTGTAAGCATAATAAATAAAAGTAAACGGAAGGGGGAATTGGATATTTTGATAATTGAGAAAGTAAATAAAATACTTAAATGAGTGAAATAAAATATCAAAGGTAATTAGTCTTGGTTTTGCTTTTATCCACTTAATGAAATGTTCGCCGATCCTGGTTATATCTTTAACTATCTTCCTCTCGAATACTCAATCGAGGAGTATATCCAGTTCATCGAGGGTAGTTATTAATAACGAGACGCGTTCATTAATAAAACTTACTACCGAATTAATATAGAACACACGCCGTATATTTACTCGATAGTAGCAATAAATTCAAGATGAAAACGATTGAAATTGATAACCTCAACACAAGCGGTTTATTGGTTTAATCAATATAATTAATTCCTATTAGATTAT